ATTTTTTACCTGTTTTTTGAAAAGTTCGAAATAAGGATCAGCGGCTGAGATGCGAATTGTTAGTTCAGTCTGCAAGTACCGGCTGAAGTCATATTTTAAATAGTGCCCAGATGTCTTGTCGGGTGCGACGCCATTCTGCGTAAGTTGCCATAAGGATTTCCGCGTCAATCATAAGAATTTTGTTCGTCGGCTAAATCTCGAATTAAGATACTAGTTAACAGCTGAAAATTCGGAGTATTTGCGTGCCGAACACGTCATCGAGGTTTCTGGGGCACCACTGGCTAACAAACGAAGACTTGGTTGCTACATAAATTTATCGTTTGTTTATACAGGTCTATTTTACCCTTAATTAACACCTGGGTCTTAGAAGCACTTGAGACCACTACCACTGCATATTATTATGCTGAAATGTGAATGACTATAAATATACTGATAGTGTACCTTAGGGCAGAATTTATTTGGCAAATCTTATCATTCTGACTGCCCTACCGAACTTACTCTGGTCTCTCCAAAAAGCCTTGCACCAAGATGACAAGGTAATTTCTGATGCATTTGTGATAGCTGATATCAAGAAAAAACGTTGAATGTCAATCTAAAAACCGCTGCATGGAAAACCGTTGGATTACGAACTGATGAGTCGAGTACCACATATGTTTGACATCGTGGAAATCTAACTTGGCGGAACACATGCGAGGGCTTTTCTCTAATAATCGTGACAAGATATCGGAAAATTCTATTAGTATATGTTTAAAAGCTACTGACTTTCCGTTGGTTTGCATAATATACGACCAGTTGTTGCAAGTAGCCAGCATTCTAAATGCTTGATTATCTAAGTACGAAAACAGAAAACATAATTTTTCTGAGGCTTTAACATAACAAGGAAGACGTCCGCGATAGCTTTTTTGCGTTTTTACAAGAAACAACGAACAACTACTTGCACGCCCTACTCATGTGCATCATAGACCGGGGGGTCGCAAACCGCCGCCTTCTCATATGAATTTAATCTTGACGAGACCCATTGTTGAAAGTTTTAGCATTAATTTCTGCTCTTCTTAGTAGAGGCATACCAGTGTTTCGTGCCGGGAGAATAAACTGCCTATTTTAAGTACTTGGCCACGTTTTAGTTTACATATACATGTGGCAGTCAAGGATATTTGATCAACTCTAACCACACGCAAATTACTTTCATCACGTCTAATGCCATAAATAAATGAGAGCCGATTTATTCTATACGCAGAGCAGGTTGTCTTGAGTCGGCTATTTGCCTGTAGGGCTTCCGTTCAGTAGCGCATTGGTAGCGTAGCATGGGCAAGTTATTGGTTGTTTTTGTAGGACGCCACTGGTTGGTCCATAGGTCGAGTCGGGGTGCGTACTCAAGAGAACTCAATGGTGACAGTCGGTGCCGGTCGAAGTGTGCGAAATGGCGCCAGTTCGTGGTCTCAGCCGTGACTCGGCGGCTCGGCTTAAGCCCGAGTGTGGCTGTGCGCCAACGCGTCTACAGGTTAGAACGGTTGTCGCGGCCATCGACTAAAAAATTGGGGTCGGAAAAGGAGGCACTGGAACGTATACTGACAGTTTGACCACCGTTACCGACACTGTCCACCGTGTGCCCAGTGTGCCCATAGTGTGGACGGGGACGATGTCTCGCGCGCGAATTAGTTAATAGTGATAGTAGGCCTGCGTTATTGTAATGGGCAGTCATCATGACCGGTATGGCGTCATTGTTCAAGACCTCGCTGCCTCAAGGTCATTCGCCCTTTGCAGTGAACCGTTCCAGACGCGCTGACTGGAAGTCACACGAGCGATAACTCGGGCATACCGGCGTCCGCACACCCGCAGCTGCCTATACGGCCACTTGAGCACACCTCACCCCACGCAACCAGCAAAACAAGCCTTGGGACACCACCCCTCCGCAAACGCAACACACACTGACTGGAGGCCACTTGAGCTTGGCCCACGAGCGTACAAAAGCGGCTGCCATCACTATCTCAGGGACTCTCAGGCATGACTGGACGCAGTCAACACCAGCCCTGGCTTCGCCGGTGGCCACTGCCGCCTGAGAGGACAATTCCGGATTCTGTGCACAATAAACCCCTCATTCTGGTGCCTCTGTCCCTCTCTAACTAACATTAGGATTTGGCCTAATAATATTAGCTCTCTGAGTACAGAGCACAAACTGACATCGCATAACCACTACATTATATCTAGTAGTAATTCTGCGGTCGTTGCCGACGATGTCTCCATAGCAAGGTGAAGCAGTTACGGTGACATGTGCGTGAATTGGTTTATAGTGGTAGTGGACTTGCATAGCATCTACCGCACTCTCTCCTCCAGAAACTAAATCCAATATCAAGACATAGTCAAGAAGTAGCGGAGGCGGGTCTGGGGCCCAGGTGGATGGCACGGTCGAGACGGCTCCTTGGCGCTCCACTCTGCACCCCGTGTTATATCTACCGCTCTCTCTCTCTCTCTTTCCTCACGTATGTGAGCCCGGTGTCAGCACACAGTCAAGATCACCGGAGGTGGTATCGAACGCAGGTGGCCGGTTCGGCGTGCGCCTACGCTTAGGCATCCCACCACAATCCCATGTATGACATTTCTTATGGTTGCACAACCCAATGTTGAGTATCAGGACCTAATCTGGCTCCCCTGTTTGGTTCTGCGTATCTTGCGTAGCTCGTTGTAAGACGCAGAGCGGCTGCTTCACCTCTACAAAATAACCGTTACGATCGTTTGATACCGTAAGCAGAATCTTTACGACGTTCGCAAATATTCATTTGACACACTAAGCATAATCTCTGTATTTACAAACACGTGTGCTCATCTGGCAGACCAACTTTCAGCGTTAATAATAAACAGTCCTGTGTGTATGGAAAATTCGTACTTTAGAATGCAGAATAAAAATCATAGAATCATTGAGCGCTTAGCACCATCAGTCAGTTGGAAAGTCCCATCCACGTAAGCGATGTCAATTGCATGATTTCCATGGGTTTTCCCCAGACATAAAAGTCCACTAACATGTCTGTCGGTCTAAGATTCAAATCAATAGGATCTAAAGGTAAATTCCATTCAGGCCGTAGTGGATCAGTCTGTTGGTGCCCTGTCTCACTGAAATGACATTATGCGATCATTTACTAAGTAGACAAACAAATAAAAGAGGGAACGGATTGATGGAAGGTGTTCCAAATGTTTTCAGCGGCAATGCATGAAATACCGTCTTTTTTCCTGTTTTTTATGTAGCCATGCCTAACATCTTAACAAATGAAATTCCAAGAGTATATGCCGAGGATATCCACCGTGTGCTCCACAGCAGGGTGAGGGCAGAGACGGTGGCTTACGCTTGAATTAGTTTTTAGTGGTGGTAGACTTTCACGCTATCTACCGCAGCCTCTACTCCCCACCTGGACCCCGCATCAAAAAGATCGGAGGTAAGAGAGGTTGCTGGTGGCTGGCATAGACGCAGCCGGCCCTAGGTGTGCCTCCACACTCGACTCAGATCGAACGCTATGGGGGTGCCATTGAGATCACATTATAAAGGAGCCATTGAAGTTTGAATCTCAGTCCACTAGCCCAACAATCCACACACACACACACTCTCTCTCTCTAGTTCGACCGTCGAATTCGACGACGTCTACCGTATGCCCCACAGCTGCAGCAGCAACGGTGGGAGCAAGGACGGTGACTTGCGCAGGGGTTTATAGTGCCAGTAGACTTGCGCTGCATCTACCACACTCTCTCCTCCTTCCCCGCCTGAGACCGGTGTCAAGACAGAGTCAAGAAGACCGGAGACGAGGGAGGCCACAGGTTGATGGCTCGGACGGATTTTCATCTTGGCGTTCCACAACACCCCCTGGTCCACACAACAAACGACCAGGATTTCAACCAACACAACATAGATTTGGAGGCTGACACGGCCGAAGCCGCACCTAGGCGCGCCGCCGACGCCTGACTCGGATCCCACACTGTGGTGGGAGTGCCATAAAGGCCACATTAAAAAGGAGCCATTGCAGCCTGACTCCTAGACCACCACCAGTCAAGGAGGAGGTCCAAGTTACCCCGTCAGTTGGCAACCTTCCAATCCACGGCTTTTAGCGCGACTTGATAGCTTCAAGCGCGTCAGATTGTTTATAGTGAGGAAAATGCGCTGAGTCGTCAACCTCACTCTCCCTTCCCATCCCCACACCCCAGCCGCTGTCCGAGCCGGTCGGCAGACTGGAGTGGGAAATGGGCGCGGTGGCTGACACGATTGACTGACCATGCCTGCGGCGCCACAGCACGACCTGCCCCCCCATACACACAAACACCAGGATTTCACACATCGGAGGTTGAACGGCGTGTCTCTCACTAGCGTTGGAGAGCCGGGGAAGATGTTGCTTCAACCCGTCCCCAGCCCACCAGTCCGCCACTCAACACAACGCACACACACGCGACGAAATGCGTGGACCGAGTGGGGGCCTCAATCAGCAACCTTCCTATCCACGACACTTGACGTGTCGGGATAGTCTCGGACTCAGGTCACCCCTGCAACCGAAGCTGCATGGGGACCGAGTCGAGATGCACACTTCCCACTTGCGTGGGAGGTGGCAGTTGGGTGCATGCGGTGGATGAGTGTTGATGAGTGCTGGTGATGGCGGAGGAAGGCAGGGAGTGTGTGAATGTGTGGTGTAGCCGGCGGTTGTCTACCGCAGGTCGTCGTGGATGCGCATGTGACCGAATAGGCCCATACAATGCCTGAAAGTGCGAGGACATTGGGGCCAATTGAGACGAGCTTGGTGGGTGTAGGTTGGTGCTCCAGACACTGGTTCGCCAGTCTCTGTGCGGTGGATTCGCAAGTGACCGACCAGGCCGATGCGTGAGGTGAATATGCGTGGACAGTGTGGGCATGAGAGGTCGACAGTGTCGGTGTCAGCTGCAAAGGAGGCGGTGTAGGCGGTGATGGGCGCGCACGGCGATGAAGCGCGGGTGTTGCTGGACATGGTGAGCGTATTGGACGTGGTCGGTTAATCGGAATTGTGGTCAATTCCGCTCTTGTGAATGCGCTTGTGGCCGGATAGACCCATGCGATGCGTGAAGGTGCGAGGGCAGTGGGGACAGTGGAGGCGAGTGCGGTGTGTGTAGAGTGGTGCTCCAGGTACTGGTTCGCCTGTCTCTGTGCGATGGAGTCGCAAGTGACCGACCAGTCCGATGCGTGAAGTGAAGGTGCGATCGCAGTGAGGGCAGGCATAGTCCTGATCCTCATCGCTTGAATCTGGGGAAGTGGGGGTGGTGTCGGATGTTGTGTCGGGGTTGGTGATGTGCGAGACGCCCGCCTGAGCGGCCGTCGTTGGAGCATTTGATGATGATGATGATGATGATGATGATGAGGAGGAGGAGGAGGAGGAGGAGGAGGAGGAGGAGGATGTAAGGGGTGGTTCAGAAAAACTGCCAGATGTAGTTGGCGGCAGAGATGATAGGGAAGAGGCGGGCGGAGGGACCGCGGTTGGTGCAGTGCGAGGCTCAGTTGGTCCAAAGATGTCCAACAAGTCACATTCGAGCCCGGAATGTCCGCTGACATCGAGGACACTTTGGAAGCGGTTGTGCGTCGGCGTTGCGGACTGGGCGCAGTTGGGATTTGCGGGCTTCGCGTTTTACTTTGGCGGTGGCGATGCGGTTGGCTTCGTGGATAGCAGCGTCCGTCTTCACTGTTCTCCTCCAGTTCGGACGATCACGGGCAAGCTCTTCCCAGTCGGTCGGGTTGATTTGCAGGCGCTTCAGGGAGGACTTCAGGATATCCTTGTAACGGCGAATTTGGCCTCCTTTGCGGCGAGAACCCGTAGCGACGTCTCCGTAGAACAGTCGTTTGTGTAGTCGTTCGTCGTCCATGCGCACCAGGTGGCCGCTCCAATGCATTTGCATTTGTCTCAACATGGAGTAGATGCTGAGGATTCCCGTCCGTTCCAGCACATCAGTGTCGGGGATGCGATCTTGCTAGTTCAGCCTCAGGATGCTACGAAGACAACTGAGGTGGTAGTGGTTCAGACGGCGTGCCTGCTTTGTGTACACCGTCCAAGTCTCCGCTCCATACAGTAGCGTCGGCAGGATGACGGCCTTGTGCTCAACTGAAGACCGTGGCGATTCCAAAGTGTGCTTTGGAGGCGACCGAAGGCTTGACTAGCTTTCGAGATCCTGTTGGCGAATTCGTCATCAATCTTGGTGTTACGGGAGAGAGTACTGTCCAGGTACGGAAAGTTCTCCACCACTTACAGTTGGGTTCAGTTCACGCTGATTTGCGGCGCGTTGGGGGCTATGGCTGAGTTGGGTGGCGGTTGGTGCATCACCACCGACTTCTGCGTGTTAATGGCCGGACCGAAGTTCTCGCAGGCGACGGAGAACAGGTCCATGGTGCGTTGCATCTCCTCTTCCGAGGTGGTGTTCAGGGCGCAGTCGTCGGCGAAGATAAGTTCGTGGACGGTGGTTGTGGATACGCGCAACTAGAAGCGCATCCGTCGTTGATTCAGGAGGTGACCGTTCGTCCTGTAGGCGATGCGGATCTCGGGGCGTTCGTCGCGGTAGACGTCCATCAGCATGGCAGAGAACATACGACTGAAGAGGCTAGGCGCCAGCACGCATCCCTGCTTCATTTCGTTGTTCACTGCGAATGCCTCTGAGACTCTGTCCGTGACTCGCGCAATCATACCGTCGTGCAGCTGACGCACTATCTGAGTGAATTGCTCCGGACAGCCGAATTTCTGCATGATCTTCCACAGTCATTCGCGATTCACCGTGTCGAAGACTTTCGTCATGTCCACTAAGGTAGAGTAGAGGTGGGTCCGCATCTCTTTGCACTTCTCCTGAAGCTGTCGGGCGGCGAAGATCATGTCCGTAGTCCCACGATGTCGACGGAAGCCGCATTGGCTTTCCGACAGAAGGCCCTGTTCCAGATGGTTATTGAGGCGGTTGAGGAGGATTCGTGCGAAGATCTTCCCGGCGATGTTCAGCAGGGAGATGTCACGGTGGTTGTCGCAGATTTGGCGATTCCCTTTTCGTTTGTAGAGATGCCCGATGGTTGCGTCTTTGAAATCTTGCGGGACTTCACATTGACGCCACATCTCTTGGAAGAGCGCAATCAGGTGGTCCATCAGTTGGGGACCTCCGTGCTTGTGGACCTCAGCAGGGATTGCGTCCGATCCGGGAGAGCTGCTGCACAGCCCTGATGGTTTCCTGGAGAGATGGCGGAAGGTCGAGGTTCATGTTGGTCTCCACATGCGGCAAACGCTCGATGGCGGCGTCGGAGATGGCGGAGGGGCGTTTGATGACGCCTCGGAAATTCTCGGCCCATCGCTGTATAATTTTTGTCTTCTCAGTCAGGAGAGTGCTACCGTCGGCGCTGAGGAGAGGAGTATTGCCCTTCGTCGGCGGACCGTAGACAGCTTTGATCGCAGAGAAGAAGTTCTTCCATTCGTTACGGTCCGCGTATCCTTGAATCTCCTCAGCTTTGCGAGCAGTCCAGGCGTCCTGCATCTCGCGCAGTCGTTACTGTTATTTCCCAGATGCTAACAGGCTACAGGAGTGATTAGAATAAGGTGAACTGAAGCTTGCCTTTAATTGTCCTGAAAGCGTATTTGAGCTGGTAACTTGGGCGACCTCATATATCTTTTGCACAACCTCTCCCAAATCGCAGGACATCTGGGACGCAATCATTAATTGCTGTCATAACCCCATCCAATAATTACTTTCACTGGATACGACAACAGTTAGGTACCATGCGCTCCAAAATAATAAACTGGAAACCAATCAGCCAGTGTCGATTGTACCAGTAGTGCCCCTGGCTACAAGCAGATAAACTCGAAATTCAAAGATATAAAGCAAAAATGGTCTGGTGTACCACTGTACAAAAAGCTCTACAAGATTAGTGAGGGAAGACAGACATGCGGGTTGCCTAGCTGTGCAGTTTTAAATAGAATTAATGATTGGGACACTATTCCTGCCTGGGATGTGAAAAACACTGCACATTCAACTTCGTACAGACTGCCTTTGGGATGGGTATGATTTATCCCAACAGTGGGTCTAAAAGACACAAGACTGTCTACTACATTTACATAAGTAGGCGTTGTTAGATTACGTTTTCTCCTGTGAACCGATTAGGCTTGGCCTGCGCGTTTCACAGGCCGGTGCTGTTGACGTTGCGGACAACCGTCCCGAGGACCAAGCGCTGCAGAAATTTTTAAATAGATCATTGTCGTGCTCCTCAACCCTGACGTGTTAGACGTCATGCGAAAGTTTTGTCCGCGATCAACGAGATTCCAAAGGCCGAGTATTTTCAAATTACTTTATGCATAAGAAAATTCTTACAGCTGCAAGTATTGGCTGTTGTGTACCAGTTCAACAAGATTATCAATTTTTAGGCTGCTTCACGGGGTACACCTCCAGTATGTGGGGCAGGAAGGTATTCCAGGTTGGTTTTGGGTCGGCGGCGTTGAGTCCAAACCATAGACGATATTTTATCTCGTCAACGTGGACCCAGACATCTCGACCTGACACAGGTACGCCTTCATGTAATCCTCTTTTCAGGCACATCCAGTTTGCCTCAGCTGCTTTGGTTTGGCGACCTGTGGTCTCGTCCAGAAAATTTAGACTTCAGTTTACGGTGATCTGTGGTAAAAAGTAATTACTTTACGGTATATTGCTATTTCCAACTATTGCAACTGCCTACTTATACAGATGTTCATCTGTACATGGACGGACTGCTTTTACGTGTTTCAATATTGAGGGTGGAAATTTGTTTTTGATGCCGAAGTCCTTGATATTTGTCATGACTTATTTCCATTACATATACTTATATGTCAGAATAACTGATGTGGTGTGCATTCTGAGGTAACATAATGATAAAAGAGAGGGCTCTTCGGAAAATCGAGTTATACTCGTTAATTTTCAAGTCGGTGACACCGACCCGTCATTAGACGAAATAAACAGAGGAGAAGGTAAGATCGGCAGACTAGGTCGGCTGGCGCGATAAGACGAATAAGGACAAACTGACAGCTGATGAGTGAGAGGGTTTGGCACAGCGTTATGTTAAGCTGGGTACCCGCCCCTCTCAAGCATCGGCTCTCTGTTTGTCGTTATCAGGTTTGTCTCGCCAGCGGACCTAATCTGTCGATGTCACCTTCACCTCTGTTCGTTTCGTCAAATGACGGGTCGGTGTCATCGACTTGAAAATATACGATTAGACCTCGATTTTTCGAAGAGCCTCCTCTTTTTCACCTACATATGTATTTGTAAACCATTCTCTTAACATTATTAGACTTGTATTTTCTTTTTAACTTTCCTTACTCTAGTTTGCCTTACCTTATCATACTTCCTTCTTATTCTTCGTTTTTTATTTTAGCAAATTCTTGACAGTTATTGCGTCTCCTGGTCTATCCCTCAACCTGCGTTATTTGCACGCCTGATTACCCCCTGCGGTCAACTTGGATTGGCTGCGTTTTTCCATGGAACTTAAGCTTCCGTTATTCAGTTCACGGCGGTTTATTCCGCTACCTGAGTTGCCCCGACAATTACTTCTGGTTAGCTTTTCGAATTCGTGCGTTTACTTACAGTTTAGATTCTAAGCACTTTAGAAGGCTTTCGATGTTGCTATATATTTTTTAACTTCCTATTTCTTGATTTCCTTTGATGTACGTCCTAAGACCCCAGAATGCGAGGATCATGTTTGCTGATCCTGGCATGGCAGACGCTTACAATCTTTGAGATCCGGAAGCATGACACGCAGCAGGACATTTACCTGGACCATCATCTTTCAAAGGCTGGGTCGCCAATCAGTCTCCGACCGAGAGGCACTACCCATATACACGCACCCGCTACTTGCATCCGTGAGAGTTCCAGAGGTCACGCTAAGAAGGAGCCGTTGCAGCCTGACTCTCTCCCAACCAGTCCGCCACTCTACACAAACACACACACACAACTGGACAGACTGAGGGATCTGAGTTGAGGCATCAGTCAGTAGTCTTCCAAGCCATGGCTCTTGGCGAACCGTGATATTCTCAGACTCGAATCTTACGTGCAGCAGAGAAGCCGCATGGCGAATGAGTCGAGAAGAAAACTTCTCACCTAAGTGAGAGGCGTCCATTGATTGCGGTGGTGGGTGATGTTGTAATGTGGTGCAGCTGTTGATGGAGAAAGGCCTGATGATGTGGTGTAGCCAGCGATTGTCTACCACAGATTTTCGTGAATGCACGTATGGCCTATCAGGCCCATACGGTGGCTCAATGTGCGAGGGCAGTGCGGCAATTGAGAGGAATCCGTCAGGTGAATGTTGGTACTTTAGGCACTGGTTTACCAGCCTCCATGTGATGTATTTGCAGGTGACTGAAGAAGCGGATGTGAGAGGATAATGTGCGCAGACAGTTTGGGCAGGATAGGTGAGGGAGTCTCTATCAGGTACGTTGATGATGATGGTGGTG